TAGCTCCTTTCCCTCTAGTCTTACACTGCTAAATTAGGGACAGCTTCCGCAGATAGCCCTCGTGTAGCTTTGCGCGAAATTCAAAAACAAACCAACCACCGTCAACTCTTGGGCTACTCTTTTACCAACGAATAGTGGGATTGATCGTCACATTATAACGCCCCCACGGCTGAAGATTGCGAGTCTGGCGCCCTAACCACCTGGCCATGCCTGGCCGCCGGTGGTTGGTGTTGACAAGCTGCCTTACCTACTAGTCTATCACTTCTAAAATTAGGGCTGGCTAGCGCAGATAGTCCTCGAGTAGCTTTTACATAAATACCAACTTAGTAGAATCATGCTGTAAATAAAGCTTAGATAAAAGTCTTATTAAAACATCGTTTTTATAGTACCAGGTCTACAGTCTTACTCCATTTTGTACCGACACAAAATGCTGAATAACACCACCAGGTGTTCAATAATATTTTACAATACAGTATGGAATTCCCGTTTCGGGTCGGTGTGCGTATTAATTCGTGTTTCCTACTTGTGTGCATTGGAATACTGTTGTTTCATTTAGTATAATTTTTTAATTTCATTATAATTATAGAGAGAATATATCCTGGATGTTTGAATTACTTTGTTAATTACATGCGTCATTGTTGATGTACATGAGCAGCTGCATGCAACATGTTCTGTACATCATTTTACGGGTAAATTACCCATAGTTATCTTTCTCTTTCTGATGGATTTTTCTTTTTGTATACGTTTTTCTTTCTTGCTTTACCTATGAACGAACTAAATAAAATAGCTTGTGGCTGTTTCTTCTGTCAGGTTAAAAGGTTTACTTGTAATAAATTAAATGTGAAGAATAGAAAGGCGTTAAAAAAAAGCAACAGAGCGAACAGCGTGTTTAAAATGTTTAGTATTTAAATTGCCGCGTATTATTCATGAGTATTAGTGCTTTTCGAACTACAGATCATATAAGGGTGTGAGTACAAACTAATGCCTTTAGAAGTAAGAATTCCATAAAAAGCTTGATTTATTTAGAACATACAACGATTTGTTTTCAAACCGGCAGTAAATAACACAGGCCTGCGAATTTAAACGTCCTAAAAGTTGTTTTGGTTTTAATAACGGATTTTCCATAAATGAACTACGCAGATTTCAGAAAGAATACATATTTTTTTCTATCACATAAAAATTTTTTTTATAAATTGGGAAGAAAAAAAAACTTACTGATATCAAATTATTATTTCGTTTACCACAATGAACATTTTAAATTTACTAATGTTTTCCGTTGTACTTCTTGTTTCCTTTCTTGTTCCAGTTGCCACTGCTGTAGTCCCT